GGGATATGGGCACATTTCAGGTGTCAACTCACATCTGCTTGGAGCTCTCGGCCACTCAGGCTGGGACTCACCTTTGTGGGTGAGAATGAAGGTGTTCCCACTGCAGTCTCCATTCCTGACTGCAATGGGAAGATATCTGGATGTTTTCTTTCCCTTCATCTTAACTGTTTTCTGGAATGTCAGCTAGAACAATCACACAACATTTCCTGAGCCAGCTTGAGAGGCAGAGTATGAAGGGGGAATGGGGAGGCATTGATCTTGACACAGCACGGCATGTCCATGTCGTTTCTTTTGGCAGTTAGGAGAGTACAAGCCTGTGTTTGTTGATTAAGTTCTCTGAGAAGAGCTTGTGTAGTAAATTCTTTCCTTTGCCCAATAGGGTGATTATTTTTATATATTTTTTTGTAGCACACACTATTTATACAACAATGTGTTTTGTTCTTTGTTCTGTGCTATTTAAAAAAAAAAAAAACAAGCTAAAGATGGCCCCTGCCTTTGGGGATTTTTTATGTGTGTGTGTGTTTGTGTGTGTGTTGGGAAATGAGAAAAAACGACCACACAAATACAAGGAAATAGACTATTCAGTGACAGATCTGTGGTCTAGATAAGCAGGTTAGCACTAGGGCACATTTTACTAAGGGAGTAGGTTTTTTTTGAACTAAACTTAGAAAAAATGCATATAATTGGGATAGCTTTAAGATGTGAGAATGAAATCATTGTAGATGTGTGGAAGAGAATGAATAAGAAACATAAGAATTAATCACTTTGGGGCTGGGGATGTGGCTCAAGCGGTAGCGCGCTCATCTGGTATGCGTGCGGCCCAGGTTTGATCCTCAGCACCACATACAAACAAAGATATTGTGTCCGCTGAAAACTAAAAAATAAATATTAAAAAAATTCTCTCTCTCTCTCTCTCTCACTCTTTTTTAAAAAAGAATTAATCACTTAGCTGATATTTATTAAGCATCTACTTTTCTTAAACACTATTCTGGGTGCTTGGGGTTTATCAGTAACAGAACAAAGATTCATATATGACAGGGTAACAACTGAGGCCTGACTGGGAGGGTGGAGAGACTGATTTTGGGAACCCTGAAAGGCAGGCTTGGAAAGCGTTTTTTGAGTGCTTGGGTATGGACATTGGACTTTGACCTTTAGAATGTAGTGAGTCACTGGAAATGACCCATATTACAGGACAGTGACATGATAAAAGGGTATTTTGTGACAATTTATATGGTAACTAGATGCAGGCCAGGATTAAAGGATAGGATTCTTGAAGTGGGAAGATGAGTTGGAGAGTAATTATATTATCGAGAACAAAAGATGAAGGAATGAGTTATTTAAGGTGACCAAAAATCATATAAATTTAATATGGAAAGTCAGAAAATACAGACAAGCACTTCCAATCCATAGTACACTTTCTTTGAACTAAAAATGAGATGATGCCTTATATAGTATCCCATGAATGCCATTTTTTGAATTGCTGTTTAGTGTTTCATTGATTGAATGTGCTCAACCCATTTCTCATTTTTACATGTATAGCTGTTTTCCTATTATATATTATATATCAAAACATCTGATATACTGATCTTTTACCTTTCTCTACATTTTAAATTACTAGATTAATAGATATGTATAATTTTAGGCTTTTTTTAAAAAAAATTGCATGATACCAGATCTCCCCTCCCTGGCAATGGGCTCAGTGCATAGAGTACTTGTCTGTTGTGCACAAAGCCCTGGGTTCAATCCACAGCACTGCAAAAAGAAGAAAAAAATCATTCTTCCCACCACCCTCACCCCAATGTGTGTGATAATTAGTGCCCAAGAGCAGAATGTGGGAATGCTGTCTTCCTGTGTTCTCATGGATGTTGGTTATTTAGTTTGTTTAAAATTAATCTGCTTTCCAATTTCTTATGAAAACTCAGTAGTAGCTGAGAGAATCATACAAGGTTCAGCTGTGTGCCCTCTGGGTCAGTTTCTGCTGTGGCACCCTGGCCCTGGACTCTACTGCCACCTCCCTTTAGCCCTGCAGGATAGGGGTGGTAGTGGCTTCCTGCTACTGCTTATCTGTTTGGAGTCTCCTGTTTTCTTCCATCTTAGTCACTAATTCCTTATATTTGCTTTCCTCTGTTTAAAACACTTGGAATTCTTTGCATTTTCCTGGTTGTACTTCATATGATATTTATTCATATGTTTTTATGTATATATGTATGTGTATGTGTGGGTGCATATAGAAAGAGAGACTGTGAGTTATTTTAAAATAAGTAGAGATACCATCATACGTCATCAATAGAATTTATCTCCTAAGAGTAGAATAGAATGTATTCCTTAAGTATCCACAAAACTATTATCACAACTGGGAAAATTAAGAATGATTTCCTAGAATCACCTAATATTGATTCCATATTAAAAATATCCACACTGTCCCCAAGATGTCTTTTATATTGACTTTTTTTTAATATGACCCCAATAAGGATCCAGTCAAGACTCATACCTTGACTTTTGTCACACCTCTTTCATCTCTTTGATCCATAATAGTTCTCCAGTTTTTTTAGTTGTTTATTATTATTATTATTATTATTATTATTATATTTTTAAATAGCAAATGAGGACATTTAAAAAATTTTTTTATTTTTATTATTTTTTTATGTGGTTCTGAGGATCAAACCCAGGGCCTCACATGTACGAGGCAAGCGCTCAGTCACTGAGCCACAATCCCAGCCCCATATTATTAACATTAATATCAGTACCAGGGATTGAACCCAGGGCACTTAACTACTGAGTCACATCCCCAGCCCTTTTTATTTTTTATTTTGAGATAGGGTCTCACTAAGTTACTAAGAGCCTCGTTTAGTTACTGAGGCTGGCTTTGAACTTGTGATGCTCCTGAGCCGCTGAGATTATAAGCATGCACGACTACATTTGCCCTTCCAGTTATTTTTAAATAGTAGACTTTTCTTTTGAGAATTTTCAAGTCTAGAAACTAGAAAATGAACTAACTTTTAACATCTTAGGACATCAACTTCCTTCCTATCTATGTAAACACATAAACATGCATTATTAATAGTGATACTACTTGCTTTTTTTTGTATGTGATGGACCATTTGAGACCAATTTAGATATCAGGACATTTCTCACCACCTAAATACTTCAGTGTATATTTTCTCCATTTAAGAGTATTCTTTTTATATAATCTGAGCATAATGATCACATTCAGGAATTTTCCAGTTATGATTCTGTTACTTAATATGACAAATGTCTTAAGTTATCCTTTTTCACAACTTTTGTTCTCTCTAGATGCAGGATCTGTTCTAGGATCCTTTATTTTATTTAGCTATCAGATGAAGTAGACTCTGTTGTTTTAAAAAGACCATGTTACTTTTATCGTAAAAACAAAACCCCAAAACCTTTCGTTCTTGATTTTGTCTGACTGTTTCCCTGTGGTGTCATTTACCTTGGTTTCCTATTCCTTTGTGTGTCTATATATTGTCAGTAGTTTTTGCCTAATTAGTTTAGAGTAGAGGAGGATTCCTGTGGCTGCCAGGAGGAATAAAGATGACATTGGAAGGAGGAAAAAGAAAATGAAGACATTGGAAGCTGGTTTTAGAGGGAAAATAAGGAAGACTAGGATCTAGCTTAATAAATTTGGAGTAAAATTGGATTTGATAAAAATATTGTTCAGTTGTAAGTTATTTCTAAATGGGCGTCCTTTCCTTCATTGTAGAAAGATTTCCTGGCAGGCTTTTAAAAGAAGCTACTGAGGTCTTAGGCAGCTCTCAAAGTGAGGCGCCATGGGAAGTGAGTAGATATTTGAGATAGAATGTTGGGAGGGCCCTGGTCTAAAAATGTGGATTTTTACAATCCTTTGTCTGGGGTTTAGGATTGAAACAACTATGAAAAAGACTATCTGGCATGGATACTGAAATTTCTGTGTTTATTACAGGAGATAAATATATATTTGTGTGTTCATGGTAACCATTTTTAAGACGTAATAGCTAACATCTGTTTGATTTTAAAAGTCTGGGTAATAACATGTATCTATGGACTAAAACATAATATGTAGAAGAAACACAAAGTGATGCTCCCTTCCCAGTTCTGTATAACTGGACTTCACCTTTTAGCATGCATCAGAATCACTGGGAAGTCTTGTTTAAATGCAGATTTCTGGGTCCTGCCTCAAGAAATTTTGACTCAGGTTGGAGCCCCAGCTTTGGGATTTCTGAGGGTCTCAGGTAATGCTGATGCACAGAACTGGACTCCTACTTTGAGCACCACTGCTTTAAATCATGGATGAGATTAGAACATGAAATAGAATATTTAGGAGTGTGATTTTTCAAACTTGATTTTTTAAAAAAATAGCACAGACATTTTTATTAAAATAAATATTTTATAGCGCTCCTCTTTGTGTACTCTATTAAAATGTAAAGAAGTTGGTGGAGAGAATTCAATTAACTCTGATCCTATGGATTGAAAATCCTCATTGTCAGTGTGAGAAAGTGCTGAGAAATAAATCAACCCATATAGATTGGAGCACTTATTGGTTGTGACCTCTTGTCAGTATCATATTCTCCAAGTCTTCAGTTTCTTATCTGAAAATAGGGATTATAAACCCTCCCCCGATTTGGAGAGTGAACATGAATGTATTTTAAAAATTGTACAACACATGCAGATAGTCTTACTGGTGGTTACTGTGTCTCTTTCCTGCTTTGGCTCCATTCCAAACTAACCCTGTGATCTGGGCTGTTCCCTCCATTTATATATAAAGAAGGGATTTGAGGGCATTTGTGAATTTTCTGTGTTGTTGTGGAAGTTATGTGAGCACCAGAAGTCGACAATGGCTTGATTTCACTTACTCCTAGGATCCTGTGTGACTCTGTGAGAGATTGTGAGCTAGTTTTAATGGAATAAAACACCAGAAAGTTATTTCCTTGAACTTGGACTTCACCTTTGGTTTCCTGTTGCCTTTTCTCTTTTTGATTGGCATACTAAATGAAGGCATCCACCCTTCAGTGGAGGCAGCAGGTTTGTGGTTTGCTGTGTGCTGTGTTGTGGTGGTGAGGTGTCGGCGTTGGGTGTGGCTTGGGGTAGAGAAGTGGGGGCCAGGCATGCATGTATTCTATATTAGTCACTCCCTGGTGCTGATCCAGGTTGTTTTGTTATACTTGGATATCAGATATGACATCCGATCACCTGTGTTTTCTACCTTTATGGAGAAGACAACAAAAGTGTGTTCACTGTTGAACAGTGTTATTGCAACAAAGTTGGAAATGAGTCGTATGTCTGAGTTTGTATTAAAAGACTTTTCTTTTTCTTTTTTAAACGGAGCTGATTAAATCAGGCAAAGTCACGTGGATCCTGTCTGCCTTGTAATGCCAATGTTTCATTCGTTTAAAAAACAACTTTGGAACATGTTTGAACTGTTTTATTTTTGGTTTACACAAATTGAAGTGTGAGTTACTGGGAGAATCTAGAATGAAGTATAATTCCTTTTGATTGTGCTCTTCCATTGTCTTTTTAATAATGAAATGTTGTCTGTTCTATTATTAACAGAAACTTCAACATAATTATGTAATGTAAAAGGATTGATGGATGCTAACCCCTTAGCTGTGTGCCATCGTTATTTATAATTTAATGGAATTTTCCAAACTCTTTCCTGTAGAGTTTTCTTTCCTTTTTTTGGTTCTCAGCATCATGTAGGTATGTAGTACCTTGGTGCTGCTAGGATTGTCATGAGAAAGAACTCTGCCTTTGCCACCAGAGGTTGCTTTTCCAGCGGGTTCTTTTGATAACCACTGCCACATTTCTATATAAATGGCTTGTTTTGTTTCTTTGTTTTTGTTTTTGTCTGCATCTGTTGATTAGAAGTCTTAACCCTGTTATACTGCCCCATGTGTGTGCTTTGTCTCCACTCTCTCACAAAAAGCTACTTCTTGGATACTTCTCTATTCTGTCATACACACTTATTATTCCACTTTCTTCCAAATGTAGTTATGATCTCGATGAGATAAAATATTCAGTATTCACATGATTTTTCATTATTTGAAGCTGCTTATGGCCGAGCTATGCCATAATTACTCTTCCTTGATTACTTTTTCGTCACAAATTTTGTTTTTCATGAAAAGAATGATGTTTATTCCTTTGGTTAGTCTTCTGTAAATGTACAACAAACCCAACCCCAGTGCTACAAGCTGTTGTGTAGCAGTTGGTATGCTTAGTTACTTTGGGGTCTCTTTCCACGCAATGTTGGAGTCTTCACACCTGGAGCTTCTGGCCTGCTCTGGTCTAGACTGGTCACTTTTTCTACTCCTGGTTCACAGCTGACATTTTGGGTCAGCTTCACCAGCTGGCACCACTGTACTGGGAGTTCTCTTCTGTCTTATGCCTTCTGTTTCATAGGCTAGGCCATTCTATTTGTGGTTTATTTCTTGTTTTGTTGGAACACGTTTTCTAGTACTTTCCAGAGAAATTTACAAAGAAGGTAAAATTTTCTTAGACATTGCATTTCTAAAAATACCCCTCTATCTTCATACTTTACTGATAGTTGGATAAGAACGATTTCTTTTAGGAATTTTGAAGTCAGTGGAACCTTATCATCTGGATTCCAGTGTTGTTCTTGAGAAATTCCAACCCATTTGATTCTTTATCCCTTCAATGTAACTGTTTTCCCCTTTGTCTACTGTGTTCTGATGTACGTTGGTATATGTATGTTTTCATAAGTTGTATGAGGTTTTCTGTGGAACTTTTCAATGAGGAAACACATCATTCTGGGTAATGATGATTTTTGTTGTTGTTATTGTTATTTTTCTGTTTTCCCAGTTTTCTTTTTCTACGACTTATTGAGCTGTTTGATTTACTTGATAGGTATTCTGGGTTATTATCCTTTGTTTTCTTTTTGAATTCATTCTGTGGGAAATATTTTCAAGTCCTCTCAGCTCTCCTGTTTAGTTTTTCATTTTTAGTATTGAGTTTTCAGATGCTTTTCTTTTTTTGTTTTTAGTTCTCAGAATACTTTCTCCTTCCTTCTTTCCCTCTCTCCCTTCCCTCCCTCCCTCCCTCTCTCCCTCTCTCTCTCCCTCTCTCCTCCTCCTGCTCTGCAACCTAGATGCACTCCTGTCTGAACTCAGGGGACCATCAGAGGAACATCTTCTCAGTATCATCTTCTGCTTATGTAGTCTCTGGTTGCCAAGTTCTCTTTCCTGTTTGTTTTGGCCTCTCTTCCATCCATGGGCCTTCACTCAGAAGTCTGTGTCTTGGGTGTTGGCTCTGATATAAGGGACACTAGTGTAACTTGGGAACACTGAGTTCAGTCAAGGGCTCACACTGGGAGTTTCATAGCAGAGTCACTGGGCTAGGCCACATCCTCTGACTTTTCTTCTTTGGATGGTTAGGAGTCCAGGAAGGCTCTACCAACCTCTTGCTTGAGTAGCATCAGCTCAGCTGCCAGCATTCTGGGGACAAGTGGAAGCAGAAGGCTAGATTTTCAGCCTTTGGTACATAAGCCTTTAGTTATCTCCTCCCATCTTCATTATGGAACCTCTATAATCACTCTGCCTTGAATTTCCCAGTCCCCACCAACTGTTTGAACCTCCAGAAAATTAGCCTTCAGTGATCTGCCAGGAGAAGGGGAGTGGGGAACAGCTACGGTGCTGAGTGGAGTCTCAGGGTAACTGGGGCTTAAATTGCAGCTCAAACACACTTTTAGCCAGTTCTGTTTCTCCTCCTGTCTTCTTTGCTGTGTTCTGGTGCATTTGGTTCTCCCAATTTCAGTTCATTGAAAATCGGCAGGGGAGGAGGTCATATTACCTCCTGGTTTTCCCCAGAACCATGTTCAGATTCACTTTGTCACTTCTGCTAAGGATGTTACCACTGGGCTACCTGCTTGCTTCCTGGCTTCCAAAAACTGTTGTGCTTGTTTTCTTTTGTTCTCTTTGTCTTCGTAGGATTATGACTTGAAAAATAACCCCCAACAACCTCCTCCCCCTGTAGTTTCAGTGGGCGATTGGGAGGAAATCAAAATAACTGTGCACTATATGATGTGATGTTTTCACCCTTCATTTTTGCCTCTTAGCTGGTTTCTGTGTCCTCAGTTTTCTGATAAACTCTGCCTCTCCTCCAGGCCTGGTTTGCTCTTCATCCTCCTCAGAATGTCTTAGGTTCGCCTTCCTTCAACCTCCTCATCTGTCAGAATTCAGTTCTGCTGCAGAAACACCCCTCACAAGTCTTTTCTAACCCTTTCCCCCTTGGAGGTTATGAAGCATCTGTGGGTCTGTTTTTCTTGTGACACATCATGATCTACTTGTTTATGTTTTATCTGATAACTGTTTATTTCTGACAACTTTTACTGGCTGGCACCAGTACTGTTTGGGAGGTGGGGAGGTGCATGATAGTCTACAATACTTGTTGCTCCAGAAATATTTGAAATAAAATTGATAGGAGAATATGTTTTATTCAAGGCCAACTTTGAAGGAAGATAGAAGAAACTTACTGTTTCAAAAGTCCCATCTTCAAAATCTATGATGGAGAACAAAGCTTTTGAAGGAGAAGAGGCAGTAAAGTGAGGAGAATATTTCTCTTGAAATGTTTTCAAGCATTAGATGCGAAGGAGCTATTTCTTTTACCAGTCATAGCTCACAAAGCTCATTAACTTGCTGTATAACAGGATGATGCTCTTAAAAAAAATTTTTTTTTTAAGTTGTAGATGGACACAATACCTTTATTTATCCATTTTTATGTAGTGCTGAGGATAGAATCCAGTGCCTCACACATGCCAGGCAAGTGCTTTACCACTGAGCTATAACCCCACCCCTGATGATGCTCTTAATAGAATTTGAGAGATTTCTGGAAGGCCGAATAGGAATCAGTCTTTCGTTAGGGTTTTGCCTGTGTTGTCTTCTCTTACCATGTACCAAAATAGAATAAGCATCTATATTTCTTGGAGCTTGCATTTTTTAAAAGTTACCTCTGCTTATATTCTAGCTGAGACTTAGAGGTATTCCCTCACACCCGTGTTTCTCAAGGACTAGGCCAGGTCTTGGCTATGTTCTTTATCCGGATAAGAAGCAGTAATTCTTCATATGGCTTCATCTCCAGACTTCTCCAGGCTTCCACCCATCTTTGGGTCAAATGTGCCTCACTGAGATTGGGTCTTTCTGTGTATCCAGGATCACCCCTGGAGTTCTGGGCTCAAGCAATCCTGCCAGAGCCTCTTGAATCGCTGGGACTGCTTCCTGTGCTACCTCTCCCTGCTTTATTGTTAGAGTTTAAATCTTTCATTATTTAAATGAACATATCATAACCAAGATACTGGGTTGTTTTTTATTTTTTTAAATCCACAGTTATGTCACATTTCTTTATTTTTTTTAATCAAGTGACCTGTATAATTAGTGTTTTTAGTAGTATATAAAGTGCTGTATCATTTTTTTGTTCAATCACATTTCTAATTTTCTGTAGACAGGACACCAATGAGTTTTTACTTTTTTTTTTTTTTTAAATTGGTATCAGGCATTGAACTCGGGGACACTCAACCACTGAGCCACATCTCCAATCTTATTTTTTATTTTATTTAGAGACAGGGTCTCACCGAGTTGTTTAGCGCCTTGCTTCTGCTGAGGCTGGTTTTGAACCTGTGATTCTTCTGTCTCAGCCTCTCCAGCTGCTGGAATTACAGGCACACACCACCACGTCTGGCCTGATTTTTATTATTAATCTTCAAACTTTTTAATGTAAACTGCTGCAAAGTAGAATAAATAGATGAAATTCAGTTTTTCTCCACATGGGTGCTTGACTGTTTCCTTGAATATGCTGCAAGTCCTCTGTTTATTGAAGAGAAATGTGTTGATGAAAGCTGCCACTTAAAATCTCCCAAGAGATTAAAACTTTCCAGGGAGTTATTTTTCAGTGGCAAAAATATCCTTCCTGGTTTTTATACTCTGGTAGGAGGAAATCATTTTTGTATAGCCCGCTCACATCTGCTTTTCTTAATGTAGTATGATTTGTTAGGATTACTGATGCTCTCCTCATTCCCTCTCAGCAAAAAGTCACTTCCCTTGAGTGTGTATTTATGGAGTGGCATTTAGTTAGCATCAGCCTGAGAGAGCTTGGTGTGATGCTGTCAGTGTCATCTGGCCTAGCTGGCTGTTGAATCAGGACCCCTGCAGGGGCAGGAGTCAACAGTTAAATCTCAAAATTAAAAAGCCTTGATTAGCTAGTAGGAGCATTATAAACCAAATTTATAGGGTATTTCAAAGAGTAGGAGATAATCTCTGATATTAAATTCTGCTTATAAAGTATAATCAGGATTGAGAAAGGTTCATTGCAATTTAGCAATGTGGAGACTATTGGTGACTTGGATAGTTTTGTGAGTGTGGTGGGCAGGAAGCCTGATTAAATGGGATTTGGGGAGGGGATAAATCTGAGACAAGGATAGACAGTTCTTTAACACATGTTGCAGTCAAGAGAATCAGAGAATTGGTATAGTAACAAGAGTTTCAGCAGAAATTTTCTACTGTTATTTTAGAATGCATAAAAATAAAGCATTAAAGAGCTTTTAAAGGTTTAAAGTTGACATCTGACAACTGTTTTGCAGACTGTTAAGATTTTTGGAAACATTAATAGTGGGCTGGAGCTAAACTTCTAGTCTGTCCAAGGAGTGGGATAGTCAGGAACAGCTCTTGGAGAATAGGGTGCCTGAGGAAACTGGGTGGATGAGACTTGTGGGCCAGCCTAGAGGATCAGGTAGGACCCAGACATTGGAGGTCCTGGGTACTGTGTAGAGATCACAGTCCCGCAGGGCTTAATGCAGCCTGTGAAAGGGGAGATGCTGGAGTGCAGCAGGTTCTGAAGGATAAAGTTGTGGGACTGAGAAACTCTTTAGGTGGGAATTTATACTGAAGGGGTAGCTACAAACATTATAGAAAGCCTGCAGGTAATAATTTCAGATGGAGAGTAAGGTGGTTTAGGAAGCTAAAAAAACCAGTTTTCTTACTGTATAGAAATGAAAATTGATATTCAAGTTAGTTAGTGCCCCAAAAAGCTTGCTTGGTGGGATGTAGGGAGACCTGTTCAGAATGGCCAGGGAATGATGGCTAAGAGACACCATTTCCTTGTTCACTCCCAGGATATTAGTTACTTCCAGTGTTCCCTTTGGAAAGTTAATACCATTTGGTGTGGAAAACTAGGAACTAGGAATATAGTTTGTTTTGGGGCTTCTTCTCCTCCTCCTCCTCCTTCCTCTCCTCTACTCCCCTCTCTCCTCCTCCTCCTCCCTCAGTTCAACAAATACAGAAATGATGTATTCTGGAACAAGAATAGTAGTGGGTTCCTAAGGACTTCCTGTGTGATATTGAAATCAGGGAATACATGTGCAGTTAAAGAAGCCCCACAGATGAAGAGGATGACTGACTGTGTGTGTGTGTGTGTGTGTGTGTGTGTGTGTGTGTGTGTGTGTTACTCTTGGTGTTGTGGATGATTGATTCCTTTTATAGGGGTCCAGATAAGTGAGGGTGTAGTAACTGAAGGTTATTTGCATAGTACTTTTTATGGTATTACATTTGAGCTGTTTGCTGTGCTGGTTAAAAAGTGACAAGGATTGGTAATTCTGCATTTTAAAAGTAAGAAGTGTTCCATTTTAGTGGTTCTTAGGCACGCCTTCATTAGAGGTTCACTAGAAGAGGATCTTAAGAATCTGAATTTAGTGGCATCACCCCTGGAGGGTCTTAATCCATAGATCTGGGAGGAATCTATATTTTGACTATCATTAATGTTTTATCTTTTTCTCACTTTTTATTCAAGAAAGAGCTGTAACAAATTTGCCTTCTTAGATTTGGAAAAACAAAACAAAACAGTGTTGATAGAACTTTTTGATAGCAATCCTATGTTGCCAGGAAAGCAGTAGCTAGCGGCAGAACACAATTTAGTGTATTTCCAGTTGAGTATATAAATAAGAATGGTTGTGGAAGTTTAAAGCCAACTATGTTTCTTCCTCAAATAATTTGAAAAGAAGAGCGTTATGGTTTTAAAAATATTTACCATGTAGGAGTTTATAAAATTTAAAATGTTCCTTTTTGCCAAATCCTACTTCTTAGTGATAACCACTGCACATTTTGGGGTGGGTGTGTTAAGTATTTTAACCTGCACATATACATGTGTATATAATTTTACCTTTATCAACATAGTCTCCAACCATGCATTGTTCTGAGACTGCTTTGTTCACAGCTCCTCTCCTCAGTATCTTCAGACAAGTTTGTAAGGGGAACTTTGAGGCACCAGGATGTGTGAACTATTTTATGCAGATTAGCAAATATGAGAGTTTTTCAGACAAATAATATATGCTGCTGGTTATTATATAGTTTTGTAGGTTGCATTGAGTGGATTAATAAGTAATGCATATACTGGAAAATGGGAAACCTAATCTACTTTAGAGAAGCAATATTTCCTATGCAGCAAATTTTGCTGTTTTTTTTTTAATTTTTTTGCCATTTAAGTAGTAAATCAACATCTGAGCCAAGAGGAAAAGAATGCATGAGTGACTATAATAAAATAAAAGAAAAATTAACTCAATATGAAACATAGGGAACTACCTTAATTTTTATTCAGTTACAGTTTTGTTGATATAATTGGCTTCCTTTAGTGGGCAGGCAGTTATCACAGTTTAAATTGTTGAATTCCCTTTTGGTTTTGCTAACTTGTTACTTCAATATTTATGTTCTTTTGTCTAGGATCCAAACTACTGGATACAGGTGCATCGCTTGGAACATGGAGATGGAGGAATTCTAGACCTGGATGACATCCTCTGTGATGTAGCAGATGATAAAGACAGAGTGAGTTCAAGTCCAGGGAAATCTGCACAGAATGTATTGTTTGGGGACTGGGGAGAGTGTGGGTAGTTGAGAGCACTTTCCTTTCTGTTTTAAATACATTTTTTTCTTTTGGTTTAAATATCATTTGTCTCATCCCACTCTAGTATATTTTGCTGTATAATTATCTTCCACAATCTTCACTACCGTGAATGCCAGGATGTAATGATTTTCTCAATATCCAGGACTTCAGTTTGGAATTTATGAAATATAATTTTTAAAATTGAAATATTATCAAAAAGGTTGCTGTGCTAGTACATCTATCAGGCATTAACCTCAGTACCTCTTCCTTGTCAACTTGGGCTTATCATTATGACTGTGTTTCAGTGCAGGATACACAAAACCTTAGACTTCTGTCCCAGTGTTGGCCCAGAGATGGTCCATCCCAATAGCTAGCCTGAGCAAGCACATCTTGGGCACCCTCCCTTGTGGCGTGATGGCTCTCAGAAAGCTACCCCTTTTTCCATCATTGCTCAGGTTTTTCTCTGTACTGGAACACTATCTTCATGTATTTTCTATTTTGGTATCATGAATTTAGATGCCCATTGCTCCTTAGCACTAACTCGCATGCCTCCTCCCTCACTTTTTTCCCCCCTCCTGTACTCTTGGAAGGAGTGAGAAGGAGGAATGACAACTCTCAAGGTTTTAATAATTTGTTCAGGATGTCTGGCTCTGCATATAGAAGTCAGCAAATTCTTTTTTTTGTAATGAGGTGATGAGACTTGGGCAGGCTTGTAGGGTTCTTTAGCCATATCATCCTTCATGTTTGACTTGAACTGAGATTGCAGAAGGGCTCACGGCCACATAAACAGTTGTATTATGACAGCTGTATTGAGGTTGCTGCCTGATAGATGTGCTTCCTCATGAAACATCACTGTCATAGCATGGGATGTTACACCAGCCAGGTTATGTAAGGAGGTGGGAAGATGGCAAAATCCTCAGGATGCTCATTCTGATTCCTTCCAGGACACTTTCTAATCACCATCCCTCTATTTTCATCCTCTCTTCGTCCATTTGTTCACTGGTCTGTGAGTAGGTGAGCCCAGCTATTGGATCTTGCTCACTCCTGCGTTTCTAACAGTTAGCAACATGCCTGCTCAGAGTCTGCAGAAATCTTACATGCTTTCCTGAAATCTCAAAGAAAACGAAAGATTTCAGATAGAGATATTACATAAATTCAGGAATATTTGATTCACTAGCACCTGCCATAGAGGAATTTGTCCCATTACAGCTATTGTGGGCCAGGACACTGTGTCACAAACTGCAGAACTGTTTGCATATGTATGATGGATACTGTTTTTCTTTTTTCGGTGCCTTTTCTCCTTTTGAGGCTTTTCATTTAGTCAGTGATAGGGTAACTCTCCAATGTTTCTGTGAGCCACATGAAGAGCACCATCTAGAGACTTAAATTATAGTCAACTTTGTTGTGGTTCTGTTCTAAAGCTTACAGTAATTACAGGGATTTTTGATGAATTTATACAGTTGCCCTTTCCCAACCATCATGTTTGAAAGAGGTGAACTGATGTCGTATTGCTCTTTCCTTCATTATCCTCTTCTTTTCCCTCTGACTTTTCTTTCCTCTCCCTCTCCTCTTCTTTCCCGCTTCTTCCCTCCTTTTTGCCTTCTCCTTTCCCTTTTGTTATTTCTTATATAAAAATAGTTCAGCAGCAGTGCACATCTGTAATCCCAGCTGCTTAGGAGGCTGAGGCAGGTGGATTGCAATTTTCAGGCCAGCCTGCGACTGTCTCAAAGTAAAATGGGCCAGGGATGTACCTCAGTGGTGGAGTGCCCTTGTGTTCCATCTCCAGTACTACAAAAATAAACAAAGAAAACAAAATGAAGAACAACAACAAAGCGCTTTAACCTGAGGGGAAAAATGGTTTTAACCATTGATAAGTGATATATTTTTTTGGACAATTTTATATCATGCTGATGGAAATCAGTTTCTATATCAAAAATGCCAGAGTACAATGTATAAAAGGCTGAAGTAGCTTTTAAATTGGCATTTTATTCTGAAATACTTAGGTGAAAGTAATTTCAATTTTTTCAATGATTTCCTAGGTTAAGGATTCATCTTAAATTGTAACTGTAAAATACATATGTAAATAACATTAACAGTTCAAAATCAGAGTGCCAAGATTGACAGTATTGTTGGATGCATTATTCAAACCCAGAGATTGTGTGATGTGGTATGCTATATGCTTGTTTTATATGGCTCTGAAATTTGATTCTGTTTAATCATCCTGGAGTGTTTTCAATTATTTTTGGCAGCTACTGTGAGTAAAAATCTTGACACCTGTTTTGCTTTTCATCAAAACAAAAACATTATATTTCTTCTACATAATACAGTTCCTCAAAAAAATGCACCATATTTTGAGCCCTCTGGATGTATGTTTAAAATGAAGATACCCAGCCTGGGGAGGTAGGATCTCTGGCAGCTGCATTTTGCAATTCTTCCCATCTCATATATAGGGTCACTGAACTCCGAAATCATGTCTTTTGTGGGGAAAATTCTCCTAATGGTGCCAATTTCATGTCTGATCACCATGAATTTGTAATATGAAAAGTTCTTTTTTACAAGGGACACATTAGGATCAAGAAATGACATTTCAAATGATAGCAAAGGAAAATTGAAGAATTTAGTCATAATTTTCTGCATTATCCTTTCATTATTAGAGGTCAGTACAGAGAGCCTTGAGAAAGTGCTTTTTGTGTCCATACAATTTCATTTTCTAGGTTGTATTTAGATTTGTTGAACATGGTATTAGTTGAACATGGGTTGTCTTGGGTTCTTGGAATAGGTTTGATTTTCTAAGGCAGAGAATTTTCTTCATCTACTTTGGCCATAGCTGAGTACCTTGTTTTGTTTGTCCCTTCTCCACAATGCTGCTTTCCCACGGGGACCTCAGAGCAGGAGAGTATTCGGGCTTTCATGGTGTCTTTTTCACCTCTAATGTCCAATTCTCTTTTTTCTCAATTGACATTTTGCCAGATTATGAAAAACTAAAAAGAGTTTTGTGCTGTCCTCAGCACCATTTAGGCCAACTGTGATGCTTTCGTTATGAGAGAGAGAGAGCTACTTTTTGAATTGTTTTTGTCTGATTTTCTTTCTGGTTTGGTTTTCACTATTATTTCAGAACCTGTCTTATATTGTCATGAATGGGTCCAGGCCACTCCTTTTGTTCCCTCTGTGACAGTAAATTCAGGAATTTCTAAATACATAATCAACTATACATTTGAGAATCAGTTCTTTCTGCATGACAATTGCTTGAGACCGATTGTAAGGGGCATAATCAAAGACTTCAGGCGTAATTGGCCATGTGCTTAGATTTGAGGGAAGTGTACTTTTGTGTGGGCAAGAAGAAAGTCTTTCTCTTGTACATATTATTGTCTCCTCTTTTGTATCTTTGGTGCTGAAGGTGATTTAAGATGTTTGATCAAGCATTCCTTTCGTCATACTTGGATGTAATTTTGTTGTGACCAAGGATGATGTCAGGTGTGTTCTGGTTTGGTGGTGACCTTGTGCAATGTCTTCCACTGCCTGTTTTTGTGCTTGGTGAAAGAAGGATTGAAGTGAGTGGCAATTAAACCCACTTTGAAGAGCATGTGCATTTGTATTGGGGTCCAGACAGGGCAAAAAGTTGTGATGGAGATCATTGTCTATTGCTTGTGAGTGTTTGTCAAGAGTCCAGGCTCTTCCGGAAAGTCTGGCTGTTTCTTTAGAAGACTGTTAAGAGGTATGTGCGTGAGCAATGGTTTCCAAGGGTTGGGGAAAAGTTCAAGCAGAGGTGTTTTAACCCATAGCTTTTTAACCTATAAACTGATGTAGTTTTGGTGCGTTATGTATTAATAAAATTACCTCAGTGTTAAAAATAAAACAAAAAGGAAAACAAATTAACCCTCCAGACATATATATTGAAATTTCCAAAATGTGTTATGATAAATTTTGCTTTTGAAGTAGACAAATGACAGAACTTTCAGGTAAGGAACATGTTTTAATTTGAAGAATTTGTAAATGCTATTTTTTTATTCCATATATAAATCATAATTTTGCTTGTTTTGTCATCATTCATTAAAAAAAAGTGTTCAACAAGGTGATGGTAGGAGGTACCCTTATTATAGGTGGAAAACATCTCTATATGCATACTCTAAAAAGCTTAATAGATTCTGTCCCTAATTATTGATATTGCTAATGTGGATGGATGGAAGCCCTCTGTTGTTTGTATGCTGAGGACAGAGTCTGTACAAGTTGTAGAAGAGAATGCAGAACTTTTTTTTTTTTTTTTTTTAAAGTTACTGGAAATTTAACGCTGGGGCTTTACCACTGAGCCATATCTCTAGCCTTTTTTTCACCGAGTTGCTGAGGCTGGCCTTGAACTTGCAGTTCTCCTGCCTCAACCTCTCAAGTCAATAGTATCACAGGCATGTGCAAATGTGCCCGGCCAGAACATATTTTTTGTACCTCTATTAAGGACTATTAAAATGAACTTATTTGGGGATGATGAAATGAGATCTAAGAATCTTAATAAATGACTTTGTTATGGAATGGATTGCTGCATAAATGATAGTGAGATTTAACTGTTTATAGTGACACTACTGTTAATTTCTTTGAAGACTCTCCTTTTCTACTTTTTAATACCTTCCTCAGAACTGCCAAGCTGTAAAATAAAGCAAAGCACATGCTTGAATGAGGGAGAACTTCTGGTTACAAATGTATAATAATTGTGTTCACAATTATTATACATTTGTATAATAACACAAGTAAATTCTGTGTTTAATGTAAAGCAGTCATAACCCAAATAACTAAGGTGTCCTCATTTTAGTTAAATGGATTATTTTAGTTGTTACTAAACATGTGAAATTAATTTGCATGTGAAAAAGGCATGGTTGTACTGCTAAACGGGGCTCCCAGAGAAATGTATAATTTCTGTTAGGATGTGGCATCAGATGCTTGTTGTTTTGAA